ACCGCGGGAGGAGCGACTGTGGAAGGAGGACCCGCTCAGGAGACGGAGGTGAGGAGTCTGGATGGGGAGCAGCGAGGAGAGGGGGCAGGCCCAGATGCAGAGAGAAGGGCCTGCAGAGAGGGGCGGGGGTGGGGGACAGGGCTGGGGACGCCCAGACGGAGGGGCAGGAGGGCCTCAAGGAGGACAAATGGGGTCTCAAGCCCCAGTTGAAACTGTGAACTGTGGGCTCCCAGGCCTGGGGTGGGTCCGAGGTGCTTCCCTTTTGCTGGGACCAGGGTAATGCCCGCCGGTGGGCAGCCACTGGGAGCCCGAGGACTCCAGCGGGGAAGACAGGCACTGAGTCCCCAGGCATCTCTTGACTTGATAAAATGGAATGTTCTGCCCTGGCCGGTGCGGCTCAGTGGATAGTTCAGTTCTGGGTCAGTTCTGGGTCAAGGGCACATGCCTCGGTTGCAGGCTCCTCTCCAGCCGAGGTCCTGGTTCAGGGCTCGTGCGGGAGGCACCCAATCAATGTGTTTCTCTCACATCGGCATTTCTCTCTGTCTTTCCCTCTCTCTAAAGATCAATGTAAAAATATCCTCGGGTGAGGCTAAAGAAGAAAAAAAGAAGGAATTGTGGGTAAAGGTCAATAAGGGCGTGTGAGAGAACCGGGCACGGGAACGCCCAGGTGCTGTGGCTGCTGAGCTGAAACCCTGGGTGGAAGCCAGGCTCCTCCTTCCCCCAAGCCCTGCCATCTCCCCCAGAGTCTGCAGGTCGTTGAGTGTGCACACACTGAGCACCTACTGTATACACGGCCGAGGGAGCTGAGAGGGACCAGACAAGGATCCGGGGCTCAGCCTCCTGCGGCCTCTGTCTCACCCCCAGGAGGGGGCGTTGGAGAGGAGAGAGCCACCCCCTCCCTGGCCCAGAGCCAATGACGGGGACAGGGGCAGACAGCTCCCCGGGCTGTCAGACCTGAGGACCGGAGCCAGCCTCCAGCGCTGTCCTCACAGAGCTCCGGGGAGACGGGGCCCAGGGGCTCCGGGAGCAGAAACACGGCGCCCTCTGCCCGCCTGCGGCTCCCTGGGGCGGCGGAGGCTGGTGAGGTGAAGAACAGCAGTGACAGACTCCCGCGTGGATTCTGTGCAGGGGTGGTGGGGGTCCCCTCGCCGAAGGGCCGGCTCCTGGCGGGCAGGATGCAGACCCAGAGAGGAGGAGCCTGGGGCCCGGGGCTGAAGCCCGAGGACCCCCAGGGAGAAGGGCCCCCACGCCCTCTCCTCGGGGCTGTGGGAGGCCGCACACCTCCAGGCTGTGACCCTGGGGTGCCGATACCGGCCAGCTCCTCCTCAGTGTCCCCAGGACTTTAAAAGCCACAAATATGCCAAGAGCAGGCCTCACCCCACTTGTGCTGGGCAAACCGGCCCGGCCCATCCCCGGCCCAGACCAAGAGGCACAAGCTTGCTCACTCGTGACAAAAAGGAACCTCGTCAGGGACCCCGGACACACCCGTGCCTACCTCCTTTCGGGCCAAAACAGGAAATGTGGACACTGCCCCAGTGTGCTTTACGGGAGGACCTCAGCCTCGCCTCTGCTCCTTCCCTTTTGATTTCTGGGCTCTGACTAACACCCCATCTCTGTTTCTGGGAATAAATGACCAAAATATCCACAGGGTGCCTAGTCTGGGTGGAGGGCACCCCGAGCGGGGACAGACAGGTGGTCTTACTGTGCTGCCCCAACCCCATCTCCCGGGCCCTCTCAGAGCTCTGCCGGGGCCCAGGGCCAGAGGCCTGGAGGGGGCGGGACAGCCCGGGCACGCTGCTGAGGCCAGGCTGGGTTGGGTCTGGGGGGCTGGGCTGGGTCTGGGGGCTGGGATGGGTCTGGGGGCTGGGCTGGGTCTGGGGGCTGGGCTGGGTCTGGGGAGCTGGGCTGGGTCTGGGGGCTGAGATGGGTCTGGGGAGCTGGGCTGGGTCTGGGGGCTGGGTTGGATCTGGGGGCTGGGTTGGGTCTGGGGGCTGGGCTGGGTCTCAGAGGGTGTGCTGGGTCTCAGGGGGTGGGCTGGGTCTCGGACAGCAGGCCTGAGGCCTCCTACAGAGCAGCCTGGCCCTGACTGCAGACACACCCTGGTCACCCATCCCGGGCCCAGAGCGACGGGGCAGTGGGCCCGCCTGGCTCTCTGCCCTCAGCCTGGGCTTCCCGGGGCACCGCCCGGTCCCCAGTCTCCCCGACGAGGGGGCCGCACCCGTCCCAGCACGGCCGGCTCCTGCTCAGGGGCCGCTCCTCCGGGACCTGGATCCTTCGTCCTCTGTTCAGAACATTGCACATGTCGGTGGAAAACTCCAGAAGGATGTAGGAACATCTTTACATGTCTCACTCAACGTTCCGGAGACAGACGTGGGGAGGGACTGTGCTTCCCCAGAAAAGACAGGATTCCATTTCCTCCTCCTTCTCCCGGAGTCTCCGTGGGCCAGGCCGCTTTGAGCCACTCCAGCACGAGGCTCTCCCGGCCCCCGTACCGCACCGGCTGCCGGCCTGGCTGAGGGAGCCCGGGAGGAAGAGCAGCCGCCCCGTCGCCTGCCCCAGAGGGCCGCCCAAGGGGAGCCGGGAGAGGATGGGTGGATGGGGGCCCCGGGGAGCGCAGGGGACCAGAGACGGAGAGGGGAGGGCGCCCAGGCAGCTCCCCTCCTCCGGCCCCTCCCAGGTTGGCCTCGGACAAATAACAGACAGGAAGCCTCTGGGAGGAGGTCCGAGCCTCCGTGTTCCTGGCGGCCTGGTCCTCACAGCCTCTCCTGGCGCCTCTGCCCGCCGCTCACTGCAGAGCAGGCTCCGGTGTGAAGACCGCGGGCAGGGCTGGCCGGCTTTGGGGAGGGGCAGCCAGGCGTCAGCAGGGAGCAGCTCGGGACGCCCGGCTGGGGGACGGGGGGCGGGGAGGGAGGGGGACCTGGGGAACAGGCCACAGAGACCTCAGAGCTGCTGGCCGAGGAGCCAGCCTGGCGGTGAGACCTGCCTCGGGGACGGGGTGGGGTGGGGGGCACAGCGCTGTCCCTGCGAGATGGCCCCTCCTTGGTCCCATAGACTCCCCAGAGGAACCTCATGAGCTCAGGCGGGCAAGCGAAGTGGCACTGGGCTCAGGGCGGCTGCCCTCAGGCTGCAGGGCACCCGGGCAGGGCGGGGTAGGCCTGGGACCCCAGGGCACAGGGCTGTGCCCATTAGGACCTCACACTCTCTGTCTGGCACAGGGTTTGTGCCAGGAGACCGCCCTCTGGCGCCCCATTGCAGGGGGGGGGGCTCAGAAGTGCTTGTGGGCTGCGGACAGGAGGAGGCTTGGGGTCCAGGGGGAGAGCTGGATGGATCTGAATGCCTTCCTCCCTCCCTGGGGCAAGATCTGGGGGCAGACAGCGCCCGGGAGATGCTCAGGGACCCAGGCCTGGTCCCCGGAGACTCCTGGGTGTGGACGGTGTGTCGCGGGGGGAGATCGTGACCAAGGCAGTAGCAACACTAGCAGAACCCACAGGCACACCGGGTGTCTGTGCTCCAGGCCTGCAAACCCGGCGCCTCCGCAGGGCGGCACGGCTGGCCCAGGCAGCCGAGGTCGAGAGGACACGGCAGGTGGGAGGAGTCTCCCCCGAGGACACCTGTTTGTGCACGTGCAGGGGCGCCCCCACCCCAGAAAGAGGGGGACCCTTATCACAGGCTCCGTGTGAAGGATGTGAGGAGCCGGCTGAGAGGGAGCGGCCTGGTTCCCCCTGCGGGCGGCCTGGGCCCCACGCCCCGAGCTGGGCACGGCCCCTGGGAGGCAGCGTGGGGCCGGCACAGGCTGGTCTGAGAGGAGCCGCGGGCACAGTCAGCGGGACAGAGGGGCAGCCCCTCGGGGACCGCCTCTACCAGCTGGGCTCAGGTCACACTGGAGCCTGGAACACAAAGTGTCCTCCTTCTCCCCCGGTTCCTCGCGGCTGGGGGTGCAGAGGAGGAGCCGTGGCCCCTTCCTGAGGTGGGCCCTGCTTCCTCCTGCTCCCAGGCCATCCTGGCCACGCCTGAGGGAGCCTCTCTGTTCTCCTCTGGGTGATGGGGACACAGGCTCCGAGCCCAGGCCCTTCCCTTACGGGGTGGCTCCTGAGGAGAGCTGCGCTCACCTGGGTCCCGCCTGCCCTTCCTCTAGAGCAGAGCCCCCCCTGGCTCAGCCCCCAGGGCCCTGCACTGCCCCCCCACCCCCCTGCCAGGCCCTGCACTGGGGCCGTGGGAGAGGCAGGGTGGGCCGGGGCCTGTCCTGTGGGGCTGTGTGTCCGGGTAGGACCTCCCTCAGGCAGGAGCACTGTGCTCTCACCTGCGCTCTCGCCTCCTGCCTGGCTGTGCCGCGCTGCCCACAGTGGCCCAGCCTCCTGGGACCTCACCGGCCCAAGGTCAGTCCAGGGAAGGCCATTGTCAGAAAAGAGAAATGGAAACCTAACTTGCCCCTGAGGGCACTGATGAGACATTTGGGGAGAAAAGTTTCCTCATCTGTGACTCCATCGGGTGGCATGAGTCTTGAGTTTTGAGAAGGGGTGGGGCTCAGCGGTGCCCGCTCAGCAGGTTCCAGCTGCTCCGATGGCATATAAGGCACCTCAGTCCTTGGAGCATCACAGGAGGAGGACGGACCGTGGCCACAGAGAAGGGGAAGGACCTGAGACATGGCGGACAACCCAGCACCCAGAGCCAGGTACCACCGGCCCCTGAGCAGCCCTGCCTCTGAGCCCTCCTCCTGGCTCCCTGTTGGGGACTTGCCTTCTCCCCGGGGGCCCCCTGCTTCTCCCATCCCTCCTGATGGCCCTTCTATGTCCAGCCAGGACCCCTCAGCTGATGCCCAGCTGACCTGTACTACCCCCTCCCCTAGGCCCCCGGCTATAATCTGGGGGTCACCCTTGTGAGTTCCTGTTTCTCCTCTCCCTCCGTCTCCCATGAAATCTATTCTCTCTGCCCTGAACCGGGGCCCTAGGAGGTCAGGTTCAGGGTTATGTGTTTTGTAAGGACATGATTGTTTTCATGACGAGAAGGGAAACACCGGGAGAGACCAGTTTGGCATCTCTCTTCCCCGATGGGGCCACCTGTCCCTGATGCTCCGTGGGGCTCGGGTTAGCCCAGAGGACGGGAGGAAAGAGCGCCATGGCCGGCAGCAGGCAGGGCTGGGTCAGCGGGAGGAGGGCAGGACGGTGATGCCAGGAGAGGCCCCGTCACAGCTCTGAGCCCCTGCCCTGCTTCCTGGGAAACCCTGACCACAGGGCTGGGCTGACATCCCAGGAGCCCCCGCAGGGGTCAGAGAGGGAGGTCAGGTGGCTCCAGCTCAGTGAGTGGACGGCCATCCTGTGGGCCTAGCTGGGATGTGGGTGGCGAGGGGAGGTGAAGGGGGTGATCCCCAGGGGGGCCCCATGACTTGGGTTCCTCCTGCCTGTGCCCACAGACGTCTGATGGACATAAACACCTTCGAGGAAAACTTCCGTGACAAAAAGAGGAAAACATACCTGTGCTACAAGGTGGAGGTCCGGGAGGGCGACCCCTGGACCCCAGTGCTGGAGCACTGGGACTACCTGCGCAACCAGGTGAGGGCCCAGCAGGCAGGCCCCCGGGACGCGGGGGGAAGGCTGCCATGGCCTTGGGGTGTCCTCTGAGCAATGTCCCTTGGGCCCTCAGCTGCTGTGATGGGCAGCTTTGACCCACACCTGAGGAGACAGGCACTGGGTCCAAGGGCCTCCAGGCTCAGCCTGTCCCTCCTGTTGTGCCGCTGAGGAGGGGCAGGCAGAGGGAAAGACCCCTGGACCAGGGTCGGCTCTCCCCTGGCCCCGCCCGGCAGCCATGGCCAAAAAGCCAGAGCTGTCCCAGTGCGCCCCCCAGTGCCTCCTGGGAGAGCCGGCAGGCTGTGGTTGCACAAGAGCACTGCCAGCTGCAAGCAGCCCAGGACGCCTCCCTGGCCCCCACCCACGGCCCCCAGTACTGACTGCCTCCTCTTCCCTGAGCCCCTGGTCTCCACAACCTGTGAGCCCCACACGATGCTCCCCGTGTGTCCTCACCTCTACCTCGGTGCCTCCCCGTCTTCCCCGCACAGTTGTCTCACCCTTGGACTCAGCACGGGGCAGGGAGGGGGGAGGGGCAGGTGCACAGGAGGGAGCTGGAGGTCGGGGAGCAGACGCAGAGCCCCCTGCCTGCAGGAAGCACCCCCCTGTGAGGCATCAGGCCCAGGACCTGGGGCTCAGCGGCCTCCTCCCTCTGTCCCCCGCTATTTATTTACTTATTTATTTAAAAATCAAAGCTACTGCAATCCCAAGGTGAGTGAAATGGCAACAAGCTCAGTGGGGACTGGTCAGTCTCAGAGCCCGGGAGCCATGGTGTGCGGGTGCAGAACGAGGCGTCTCTGCCCTGTGCCCATTGTGAACGCTGATGATGTGTGATTCCTGAGTGCCTTGCCTTTGACCGTGTACATCCTGCGTCCAAACAGCATTCCTCCTGACGCTGAGCCGTGCCCCTCTTTCTGTGCTGGAGGCCAGGGCCTCGCCTGCCTCTGGCTGGTCCCCTCCCGGTTCACAGGACGTGACAGATCCCTCTTCTCCCCCCTCTGTGCTCAGGGTGCAGACACACCCTGGTTACCCCGCCATCATGCAGAGTTGTGCTTCCTGGATCTGTTCCCTTCTTGGCCCCTGGATCAGGAGAAGCAGTACAGACTCACCTGGTACATCTCCTGGAGCCCCTGCCCTGACTGTGTCCCAGAGCTGGTTGAATTCCTGAAGAAGAACAGCCACGTGAGCCTGCGCATCTTCGCTGCTCACGTCTATACCTACATCCATGGGCTGCGTGACCTGCGGGACGCTGGGGCTCAACTGGCCATCATGACCCGCAATGGTCAGCAGGAGACTCCTGACGGGGAGGGGAGGGGGGGAGGTGGGCGGACAGAGAGGCTGGGGAAAGACTGCACAGAGGGGGCTGGAGGACAATCTGGGTGGGGACGCCTGTCAGCTGCCTGCAGGGGGCGTGCTGGGTCTGGAGAGGACAGTCTCTTGGAGGAGAGAGTTCAGGGGAGAGAGGGGTCCTGGGAAGAGGAGGGGGGTCCCTGTGCCATAAGGACCAGGTCCTTCCTGGTAGAAGGGTTGGGGCTGCCTCAGATTCCAGTCCCAGTGGGAAGAAAGGATGTGAGGGTGAGCTCAGTGCCTGGGGAGGGGTGGGGAAGGGGGCGGGAGATTCTGGTGGGGAGGGTGTGTCCCCAGAGTCAGAGACCTGGGTCCTCCCTGCACTCTGGAAGGCGCTCACCGTCCCCTCCCTGTTCCCATCAGAGCTCCAGGACTGCTGGGACACCTTCGTGGACAGCCAGGGCCAGCCGTTCGAGCCCTGGCCTAACATGGACGAACACATACAAGAAGAATCTCAGCAGCTGCAGACCATTCTCAGGGTGAGATCCCTCCCTCCTGCTTCCCCCGCCCCCACCTCCTCCCCTTCTCTCCCTGGGCTGTCTCCCCTCTGGGTCACCTGCTTCCTCCTGGGCACAGCTCCATCTCTCCCTCAGGCCTCACAAGTCCCTCTGCTTTCTCCCCTCCTGCCCCCCTTTTCCTCCCCACCCCCCCTTTGTGACCGCCCAGACTCCGCTCTGTTCACCTTCCCACCTGCCTCACTCCCGCTTCCTGCACCTCCTTCTCCTCCATCCAGAATCCGGAAAACTGAAGCACGGACGTCGTCTCTCTAAGCATGAACTTCCATCTCTAAGTTCTTCTGCTGAACGAGGAATAAAACACTGTCTTCAGGAAGTGAAAACGCACCATGAGCCGCATCTCCACCTGGACCCACAGAGACCAGCAGAGGCAGCCAACGGGCTGCTGAGGAATTTTTAAAAATCTGATCCATTTACTTGTCATTTAAGACCAGTGACGTGTTCCGAACACACACCGGTAGCATTCTATTTCATACTGTCTGAATCACTTTTTAGGGAAATAATGATTTTTTTTATTGATTTTAAATCCAGAGCGATAACATGAATGATTAAGAATCTTCCAAAAAATGTCTGTTTCTCTGTAAGTACAGCAGGAAGTCCAAACGGTTCAATAAACACCGGCAAAGTGCAAAGGGCTGTCTCTTTTGTGGGTCCCCCTGGGGGGGGCAGTGGTCTCAGGAATTCCTGCTGCTCAGCCACCTCCACACTGTTGGTGAGACCTGAGGAGCCGCCTGAGAGGGAGCGGCCTGGTTCCCCCTGCGGGCGGCCTGGGCCCCACGCCCCGAGCTGGGCACGGCCCCCGGGAGGCAGCGTGGGGCCGGCACAGGCTGGTCTGAGAGGAGCCGCGGGCACAGTCAGCAGGACAGAGGGGCAGCCCCTCGGGGACCGCCTCTACCAGCTGGGCTCAGGTCACACTGGAGCCTGGAACACAAAGTGTCCCCCTTCTGCCCCCGGTTCCTCGCGGCTGGGGGTGCAGAGGAGGAGCCGTGGCCCCTTCCTGAGGCGGGCCCTGCTTCCTCCTGCTCTTTCCTAGAAGTTCAGATGGTAAGGAGATCCTCTCTTTAGCTGCTTTCCTACGGGTTTGCTTGGATCCAGCCACGTTGGCTTATCTGTGGAATCATCAGCCAAGTGTAAACCAAAACAGTCATGCTCAGGCAAATGGAGATGTTTGAAGACTACACCCAACAGAACCTGCCCCCGATCGCGTTTACTGACTGGACACTTGTGCAGCGTCATCCAGAAGAAGGATGTGGCAAATGGACCTTTGTGTGCTGTCTGTCTGGGGCCAACTCTGATGCTGGTACATTGTGGGTTCTGCCAGCAGCAGACGGAAACGTGAGGTCATGACTGCGCTAAGGTCTTTGTGCCACAGCTGCATCCTGTCCCCATTTCTGTGAAGTCCCAAGTCAGGCAAAAACCAGCCTGTGGCCCTAGACGTGCTAACCCGGGTTCCCTGTGGAGGGGGAACAGCTGGGAGGGGACACGAGGGACTCCCATCGGGGATACTGGACAGAGCCCCCCCTCCCGCCCCACTCAGTCTGGGTGATGGTTATGCCTCCTGGAATCCCAGGACCTGCACTTAGCTGTCAGTTATACCCCAGGAAACAGAGAACGGACAGAGGAGGCTGCGGAGCTCACATTTCCAAGAAGGAACGCCTTTCCCCAAAGGGCAGAGGGCATCCTGTCCCAAACGCGTTCCCAGGTGAGAAGGCCAGTCAGATCCATGCAGACGCACCAGGATTGCTCTTGGCCTGGTCGCTGTTTTGGTGAGAAAGGACATTTAAGATTTTCAGCCATTGAAATCTGAACGCCCGGTCAGACGTGGTCAAAAGTGAAACCGTGAGGAAGAAGGAGGAAGGGAAGCCGTCCTTGCAACATGACGACAACGACAAGAGCTGTCACAGCCAGTGTCGTCGGCGTGCGTGTGAGCCAGGGACTGAGCCACGCCAGGGAGTGTGTTTGGGAGCCTCGCTGATGACAGCGGTGGAGCTGCCATTGGGGGGTGAGATGTGTCATCCCCGGGGGAAGCGAGACGGCCCTCTCCTGCTCCGCTGCTCCCTCCGGACTCTCTCCAGCCAGTGACCCCTCAGCAGGAAGGACCCTCACCCTCGCCTCTCCATCTGAAACCTGCCGCCTTTCATTTTTTATTTTTTTATGTATTTTATTGATTTTTCACAGAGAGGAAGGGAGAGGGATAGAGAGATAGAAACATCGATGAGAGAGAAACATTGATTAGCTGCCTCCTGCACACCTCCGACTGGGGATGTGCCCTCAACCAAGGTACTTGTCCTTGACCAGAATCGAACCTGGAGATTCTGCAGACTGATGCTCCATCCACCGAGCCAAACCGGCTCCGCTTGCCTCCTTTTAGACTCGCATTCATGTATTCATTCATTCATTCATTCATTCATCACACCTCACATTGAGCTCCCCTGTGCCGGGTGCGATTCCAGGGCCGTTCAGGTGCTGTGCAGTCTGTGCTCTGGGATTTCACAAACAAAAACTCTCCTTTCAGTCGCTCCTCCCTCCATCCTCTTCCCAGAAAGGCAGAGCCCCCCTTTCTGGACCATGAGACTTGTACAAACTGTCTGCGTGTCCCGCCCTCCTCTCCTGCCTCCCGCTGGTTTCCACCCCCGCGCTGCTGTGCTGGGGGGAAAGGGTCTTTGTCAGGCCTCGCTCTGCCCCTCGCCCAGCGGCAAGTGACACAACTGAGCACAGCCTCCTCCTGGAGCTGCTGTCCTCTCCCGGTTGTTGGCGACACTCCCCTTCATTCATTCATTCATTCATTCATTCATTCAACACACGTCGCGTTGAGCTCCTCTGTGCCGAGTGTGATTCGTCCACTGGCTTTCCTCCTGCTTCTGCTCACCCCCGGCTCCTCCTGTCCTCCTGGGGCTGGGTCCTCCCCTGTGACCCCCACCACCTCCCTAAAGGCAGCCTGCCTTCCTCCCGCCATCCCCCGGGCACACTCCCCTGAGCCCTGGGCTTGGAGGCCAGCTTCCTCGGAGACACCTGCCCTCAGACAGCCCCTGGGCACCGCACGCCTCCCTTCCAGAATGGAACTCCTTGTGGGGTGCTTTCCCCAAGAACCGTATTTCTCTCAGATCTCCCCGGCTGCACAGAGGGCACTGCCACTTACCCTGAGCCCAGACCCAAAGACTTACCTTGGTTCCTCATTCTCATCATATCCAACTCGTACCCACGTCCTTCCCGCCCATGTTACTTCCAAACCCACTCCCATCCCTGCATTAGCCTCCGTCCCCGCTGCCTCCCCATCACCTCCCGCTGGAGGACGGGAGAACCTTCCGGCTTCCACTCTTCCTCCCTCATTCGACGTCCACCCGGGGTCCTGTGCTTATCCTCACCTCTAAGCTCCTGCCAACGACCAAGCCACCACCCCTCCCCGCACCCACCCTGCACTCCTCTTCCCGCCTCCCTCCCGCCTCAGGGCCTCGGCACTGGGTCCGCTCTGTCCACGGTTCTCCCAGGCTCACCTTTTCGCATTCTCTCCGTCTCAGCACAGAAGTAACCGGCGCCGAACCCTCTATTTAAAATAGCTGCCGAAACCGCTTTGGCTCAGTGGATAGAGCGTCAGCCTGCAGACTGAAAGGTCTCGGGTTCGATTCCGGTCAAGGGCATGTACCTTGGTTGCGGGCGCATCCCCAGTAGGGGGTGTGCAGGAGGCAGCTGATGGATGATTCTCTCTCAATTGATGTTTCTTTCTTTTTAAAAAAAAATATATTTTATTGATTTTTTACAGAGAGGAAGGGAGAAAGACAGAGAGCCAGAAACATCGATGAGAGAGAGTCATCGATCAGCTTCCCCCTGCACACCCTCTACTGGGGATATGCCCGCAACCAAGGTACATGCCCTTGACCGGAATCGAACCCAGGACCCTTCAGTCCCCAAGCCAACGCTCTATCCATTGAGCCAAACTGGTCCCAGCTCAATTGATGTTTCTAACTCTCTATCCCTCTCTCTTCCTCTCTGTAAAAAAATCATTAAAATATATCTAAAATAAATAAATAAATAAATAAATAAATAAATAAAAATAAAATAAATAAAATAGCTGCCACTACCCGTCAGCCAGTCTCCATGAGGGTCATCCTGTTTATTCCCTCCCAGCAATCACCTCCATCTGAAGTTCTCTTACCCACCCCCATGGTTTCTTATTTCCTTTCTGTCCCCCCTCCCCCATGCCATGGTCCCCCGGAGGTGTGGAGGCCCGGGCACCTCCCTCAGATGTGTGCCCCCAGTGCCTGGCAGCCAGCCTCCGCACTGTAGGTGGTCAACTACTATTAGTCAAGAACTGAACCGATAAAGAGATGGGAAGTGCCTTGTGTGCTAAGTTTTCTTTCGGCAGAAGAAGAGATTAGGAGGAGGGGGCAGGGGAGGTGCTGAGAGAGAGACCCTAGCTTTCCCAGGAGACACCTCGGTGTTAGTTGACTTGTCATTAAACAAATACTTCCTGAGTCGCTGAACCAGAATGCAGTCCCTGCGGGAGAGGTCTCCGGTGGACAAAGGCGGGAGAGGCAGGCTCCGGCTGCCAGCGCCAATGCCCAGGTGGGCATCAAACCCGATCCGGGGCTCGGAGCCCTACGTAGGAACATGGCCACCGAAGCATTGCCTCCCCCGGGGACAGACGCGGTCAGCCTCGCCCCAGGCCGGGCTGAGGGAGAAGCCAAACGGCACCAGGCAAGGGGTCCGGGAGGCGGTGGGAGACGGGCCCTGGAAACGGAGCCAAATGACCACAAGTCAGGCTGTCACCGTCCCGGCCGAGGATCTTCAGGGAGCCCAGCGTGGAGCCTGGCCTCCGGGGAGCATTTCCACATTAGCCTGTCCGAGCTGGGCCCCACCCCGGGCCTGGCCCCTGAGTGGGGAGAGGCAGGGCGCAGGGTGCCGCAGAGAGGGGGAGCCAGGGGCCACGGAGGGCGATGTGGCGAACACCAGGCCTGTCGGGGTGTGCTGGCGATGAGGAGGGGGCTGGGCACTGTCCAGGGGCACCCGGGGCAAGATCCGAACTCAGGATACTCCGTGTGTTCTGTGGACTCTTGCACCCACGTTGGCACGCTGTCAGCTCCGGAAGGTGAACGCACCCAGGGCTGTCTGACAGCCGCGAGCAGAATCAGGGGACACACTCCCGTGTGGCGGTGGCGGGGATGCCGCAGGCCGGGGAGCGTCTGCAGAGCCGAGGCCGGCGGGTGTGGCGGCCCCTGCGGAGTGGAGCCCGGCGGCGGCGGTGGGAGGCCAGGGCCAGGAGCCCGCGGGCTGGGGCGCAGAGAGGCACGTTTGGGGGGTCTCAGCGGTGTGGGCACTGGGCTCGGAGGGATGGAGCCCAGAGAGGGGT